AATCCCAAAAAAACCCCGGGAAACTGGACGGGAGACGCCCCGAAATATCCCAAAAGTACCCCAAAAATACCCCCAAAAATCCCCCAAAAATACCCCAAAAAAATCCCAAAAAATAACCTTAAAAAAATCCCAAAAATATCCCAAAAAATCCCGGGAAACCGGGCGGGAGACGCCCCAAAATATCCCAAAAATATCCCAAAAATATCCCAAAAATAAATCCCAAAAAAATCCCCCCAAAAATATCCCCAAAAAATATCCCAAAAATATCCCAAAAAAATCCCAAAAAATCCCCAAAAATATCCCAAAAAATCCCGGGAAACCGGATGGGAGACATCCCAAAATATCCCAAAATATCCCCAAAATAAATCCCCAAAAAAATCCCCCCAAAAATCCCCAAAATATCCCCAAAATCCCAAAAATCCTCCCTGGGGGGGGGGTTCCCCCATTCCAGGGGATTCCCGATCCCAGGGGGAATTCCCAAATCCCAAGGGAACCCCAGATCCCTTGGAATCCCCGGATCCCTCTGGAATTCCCGAACCCCCTGGAATTCCCGGATCCCCCCAGAATTCCCGAACCCCCGGAATTCCCAGATCCCTTGGGGGAATTCCCGGATCCCCTGGGGGAATCCCCGATCCCCCCGTATCCCGGTGCTCCCGTCCCCGCAGGTGAAGGAGCTGCTGACGTCCTTCGGGCCGCTCAAGGCCTTTAACCTGGTGAAGGACAGCGCCACCGGGCTCAGCAAGGGCTACGCCTTCTGCGAGTACGTGGACATCAACGTCACCGACCAGGTACGGCCCCCGGACACGCCTGGGGACACCTGGGACAGCTGGGGACAGCTGGGACAGCTGGGGACACACCTGGGACACACCTGGGACAGCTGGGGACAGCTGGGGACACACCTGGGACAGCTGGGGACACACCTGGGGACAGCTGGGACACACCTGGGACAGCTGGGACACACCTGGGACACGCCTGGGGACACCTGGGATACACCTGAGATACACCTGGGATACCTGAGATATACCTGGGACACACCTAGGACACACCTGGGACAGCTGGGGACACACCTGGGACACACCTGGGACACCTGAGATATACCTGGGGACAGCTGGGGATACACCTGAGATACACCTGGGATATACCTGGGGACACCTAGGACACACCTGGGGACACACCTGGGACACCTGGGACACCTGGGGATACCTGGGGACACACCTGGGATACACCTGGGACAGCAGGGACACACCTGGGCACACCTGGGGACAGCTGGGGACACACCTGGACACACCTGGGGACAGCTGGGGACACACCTGGGGACACCTGGGGACAGCTGGGGACACACCTGGGGACACCTGGGATACCTGAGATACACCTGGGACAGCTGGGACACACCTGGGATACACCTGAGATACACGTGGGATACACCTGGGACAGCTGGGACACACCTGGGGACACACCTGGGACAGCTGGGGACAGCTGGGGATACACCTGAGATACACCTGGGATATACCTGGGGACACCTAGGACACACCTGGGGACACACC